ATACAGAGAACAAACTGAGGCTTGCTGGAGGGGAGGTGGGTGGGGGGATGGGACAAATGAGTGATGGGCATTAAGGAGGGGACTTGTTGGGATGAGCACTGGGTATCATGTGTGAGTGATGAATCACTGAGTTCTATGCTGAAGCCAAGACTACACTGTATGTTAGCTAACTTGGATAAATAAATCTTAACAAACCAACCAACCAACCAAACAGACAAACAAACAGAAAAGACAAGCAGATGATTCTGATATCGGTTGGACTAGTTTCGGTGCAGGGACTAGATCCTGTGTCAGCAGGATTGGGCTCTGGGGCTTTAAAAGGAGTCTGTGTTTAACAGGAAGTTTCACCTTCATCTGCTTTCTACATTGAGGTTCTAGACAAGATTACATTAGAACAAGGGGTCTCATGATCTCATTGTGGTTTGAAAACCACCGAACTAAAGCTATCTCATCACCTTGGGAAATTTAGAGTCCTGTGGCTTCCTGGCTTCAACATTCAAGGCCTTCTATGACCCAGTTCCTCTTGATGAGGTTTTAGCCACAGGCAAGTCAGTGTCTCCAAAACAGTCTTCCCACCTCCCTCCCAAGGTCCTCTTCCTGCATGAAGCCTTCCAGGGCTATACCAGAAGGTCAGGGTCTCTGAGTTCTTAGGCAGGTGGGTTGTGAAGGAAGCATAGCTGGAGTGGGGCGGCAGGGGCGGGGGAGGGGGTGCGCCCTCCCAGCACATCCCTGCAACATGTTGCCTTTCTGTGAAATTTGCCAAGGTATCATCTTGAAATGATGGCGGTCGAGGGGAAACAGGGCAAGTAAACTTCAGGGAGACTGAAAGCTCCCTCCCCTCCCCAGACCCTGCCCCAGGCTCTCTTACCCTGGACTAACACCTCCTGATGACTCTGGGCAGTGGGAATCAGCTGCTCGCCTGGCCGAACCTTGCAAGACGGTAGGGCAGATGGAACCCCTCTGGCTTTCACACCACCCACTTCTTCCAGCACGGGCATTGCAAGCTAGCCTTTTCGTCAGCAGGATGAAACTACACTGGGCCAGGGTCCTGGTGAGTGAGGGTGGAGGCGCCCACCCAGCCCCTGTGCAGAAGGCTGGCTCCCTCACTTCCGCTGCTCCTTTGTTGACGGAGCAGGCGTGACAAGGGAGCCGGGAGCAGAGAGCTCTCATCCCGAGAGCTGTCAGCCTGACCAGAATGGGCATTCATTTTCAGGATAAATAATCAACTCAAAAAATGTACCAAATTCATTTTCAAATTGGCTTGTCAGATACACGTTTGCCCAGGACAAGTCGGTTGAATAAAATGTATCTTGGGGAGCAAGGTGAGCCGGCCTGTCTCATTCCCTTAGGGACATCTTGTAAATAAGGGCCATTCTTGAGGCCGGAAGCAGAGAATTCCCCAGAACAGATTGAATTCTGGCTTTGTCTTAATGAACGTCAATATTTATTACCAAAGGCGGTGTGCTTCTTGGAGTGATAGCATTTCACCATTTCAGCCCTCGCCTGTTGCCTTCCCAGGTACCAAATGCTATGTAATTGCGGCTCATAAAGGCAGCAGACAATATTGCCAAGGAAACTCACTCCTGGCTGTAAATCTTCATAATCAAACCCAGCAGAGCTTTGCTTTCTGGTTTGGACAGAGTGTCCCTGAGGGCAGGGCCCACCCAGATTTTCTAGTCCTCCTTCCTTGGCAGGGAGACCCCCCAAACACCGTCTGGTGAGGCAGGGGCTCCTGCGGGGATTGGGGATGAGGGCATCAGCCAGCAAGGGCTGGAGAGGCCGAGAAGTGACAGAAGTTACTGTCCCCACCCCAATGCAGAGCTGAGAGAGACAGACAATCACTCAGAAATCTGGAAGGGCCCTGAGAGGTTATTCCATCCAACCTTCTTGCTCTGCAAATGAGGAAGTGAGGCTCAGAGAGGTGGTTTTTGCAAGGTCACACGGCTCCCAGGCTAGGGCTCTTCCTATTTGGCCACACCATCTCCTGGGGGTTAAGGCGTGAGCTCAAAAGAACGCCCTGAGCTGATTCCTCCTGCAAGGGTGAGTGGCTCCCAGCTGGAGATTTTCCTCGACTCCTGGTAGGTCCTACTGCCAAGAAGCCTGGCTTCCTGGGGTCTTGTCCAGACAGGTTGCTTTTCCTAAGCTGATGTAAGCCTATGATCTGCCTTGTCCTTTCCTGGGGAAACCTCTGGAAATCAACTCCAAACTCTGCCCCTTAACCAAGACATTCGTGGGGACAGCAGTCCCAGCTGGAGAATCTGTACAAGGAAATGGAGATTCGTTTCAGGTTTTCCTCTGAGTGAACAATACATTTGTTTCTAGTAGGACCTTAGCTCTACTAAGGGGAGGAGGAGAGGTAAACCTCTCCAAGGAGTCTAGAAGGTCAAAGGAAAGCCTGAAATGCCTGAGCTCAGGACACTCGGCTGGGCCAAGTTCAGCTTCTGGTTCTACCTCCTTTCTTCCTTCCAACTTGCTAAGGACAAGGATGGCCGCAGGGCAGGGACACAAAATGGGTTTTCGAGAGTGATGTCATGTGGTTCCCAGACACCAGATCGCTCTGCAGAAACTGCCTGGCTGCTGTTATGGGAGTTGTGTTGAAGAGAATTATAACTTTTGACAATGGACATCTCATCTTGCACAGATGCGTCCTTTATAGAATCTGCCAGCAAGATTACAGAGGCATCACAGCGTAATGGGAAGAGGAGTCAATAATTCTGGGGTTATTGATTGTAACCAGACCCATTCTTCTTTTTTAATTTATATTTTATCCACTTTTTTCAACCTGTTTTTTTTTTTTAAACCCATCCTCACAAAAGCACCTGATGGATCAAATGCAGTTGATTACATTTTTAAAAATGATAGGAGTAATTTGCTGCCCTTAGGAAGAATCCAGGACAAGGCAGTATGTGACTAGAGGGGGAGAGGAATGCTTGTAGGGAAGGAGGTAAGGAGGGAGAGGGAAAGGAGGGGGCACAGAGCAAAACAGGAGCAGTTTGGTGAGGACAGCCCTGCTGACCCTGCATTCGCTGATGCCCTGATCTGGATGAAGACTCCATCAGTGATCAGATTTCCTACAGCTTTGCAACTCCACTGGGTCCTAGTGCATCCCAGAGGATACTTCTCATCCCTCAGAGCCTACTTCCTCCAGGAATTCTTTCCTGATAAGGCAAAAGGAGACACTGGGTGGGTCAGGACGGGGGAATGTGCACCCAAACATACATGTAAATATGTGCATGTGTGTGCCCCCCTATGTGTCTTCATTCCAGAATGTTTACCCATAGGATGCAGCAGCTAACTTGACATGTGTTTTTAATGGTTGGATTGGGCTGTGTGGAGTGAGCTAGAAATAGCTTGTAAGCTCTTAAAAAATTGGTTATACATTTTTGATGTCCCCAATATCCCTTTTGATTCTAACCCACTATGTAGGGTAGTATGATAAAACTGTTGGGGATTTGCTGAGTAATCCCCAGGGAATTAAACAATCACTTAAACATCCTTTTCTTGTGGAGAAGTGACCAGGGACTTCTCTGGTCACCAAAACAGGTGCAATGTGAGTTTCTGGTTCAATTTCTAAAATGCCCGATGGCTATACTCCATCAGCTTCGCTTCTCGTTGAGAATCCTTCACTCTGTTTCCATTGATCATGAACTAGATCACAGAATGTCCAAGTAGAGAAGGGCTTAGACATTGCTGAGTTCAAACCTCTCATTTTTCAGAAAAGGAAACTGGGTCCCAGAGGCATTGACATGAACGTGCCTCATGGCCAACAAGTGGTTTCGGTTAAAATTGAAGGCACGTCAGTAGACTCTCCCCATGCAAAATTGGTCTCTTCTCTCCATCGTTTCATTTTCTTACATGGAAAATAGCAAGAACCGATCACCTGTGTCTCTTCCCACCTTCCCAAAGTGGCCCAGCTGAGTTACAGAAAGTTCTTCTTTCCTATTTGCTTCTAGATGGATCTGAAAGTAGGCGGGGCTTGAAGAAACTGTAAGAGGCAGAAATAGAGCTAGATTTCATTTCCTCATCTCCTGCTGACTCATTTTGTGTAGGCGTGGATCACTTTTTTTCCAGGTGGGGCTGATACTGACATTCTGGAAGTTTTTGTTAAATGAAGAGAGAAAGAAAGAAAGACTTTTGTGTCCTTTTGCTTTTTAAGGTGGGCAAAAATATGCCACAAGAATTCTGGATTGTGCTTCCACATCTAGGATGTGGGAGAGGTTCCAGAATGGATGAGAAGGAGCAAGGGGAACATTTATTTATTTTTTCTCAGTCTATGTCTTGAGGGACCAAGGAGACCCACAAAGATGGCCATGATCCTTGGCTGACCTTGACTTCTTGCCTGGCCCTGTCTCAGTCTCCATAGCCAAACCCTCTAGCCATTAGCCAGAGGCTTGCACTTTTTTTCTTTATCTCTGACCTCTTTAGAGGTGGTAACATTTGCTTTGGTGAAAGATACTAGCCTCTGAGTCAGAAGACAAGAGTGTGAAACTAATCATTTAACTTAGTAGCTCTGTGATCTTGGACAAGTCACTTCAACTCTTCAAATCTCTGTTACTTTGTAAAGCAAGCGGAAAGATGCCTGTTTACCCTACCTTACCCAGGTATTGAGGACCAACGAGGATAGTTTGATGATATCATGGGATAAATTGGAATGTGCCATCCGCATGTAAGACACTCTCCAAAAAATAAACTGTTTATTTGAGAACAGTTTTAGAATTACAGAGAATGATAATTCAGAGTTCTCACATAACCCACACCTAGTTATTTCTATTATTAACATCTTACATGAGTACGGTACATTTGTTACAGTTAATGGACCGATAATGATAAATTATTATGATGAAGTTCATAGTTTCACTTTCCTTCATTTTTACTTAATGCCCTTCTCCTATGCCAGGATCCCATCTGGGATGTCACATTACAGGTAGTTGTCAGGTCTCTAGGCTCCTCTGACCTGAGACCGTTTCTCACACTTGCCTTGTTTTTGATGACCTCGACAGTTCTGAGGAGGACTGGCCAGGCATGCTGTAAAACGACCCTCAGATGTGATCTGTCTGATGCTTTTCTTCTGGTTAGCCTGGAGTTCTGGGTTTGGGGGAGGAAGACCGCAGAGGCAAAGTGCCATTTTCATCACGTCACATCACTGGCATATCACAGGTGAGCTTTCTGTTGTCTGTACTGATGTTATTTTAGAATCATACTTCGTCACTAAGAAAAGCCAGGGACCCCTGTTTTAGAACCCACTCTCACGGTGTCTGGGTCACATGGCCCTGGAATAAGAGTCCTAGTACAGTTTTTCCCCTAAAATAGGAGAGGTTCTTTCCAGTTAGACCACTGAGTCTGCCTTTCTGGTCACCTGGGCTTAGCACTAATGAGCTGCTAATAACACTACCGTTACCTATGCAAATGAAGGGAGCCGGCTGGAGGGGGTGCGGGCAAGCGCTCACTCCCTTCCAGTGCTAAGTAATCAATCACGTTGCTGTGGTTATTAACCATCTTAACTGAGGTGCTCTAAGAACTGACCCCTGAGGGCACCTGGGTTCCTGGCTTATTTACATCAGTGGATTATTTCTCAGGAGACTCTGGGCCTGGGAGGGGTTCATTCGCTTCTGCTCTAGATTAATGGAGCAGTGTGGCGTCAGGGGCTACAAAGGAAAGAGTCTAAAACTCTCTATTTGGTTCACCTGCTGAATGCTGTGTGTATCTGGGATAGTTACTTGCCCTTTCTGTGCCTCAGTTTCTCTTCTGGACACTTGTAAGTAATGGCTTTTATGACTTCGCCTCTTCCTTGTCAGGACACGGTCTGGGGAAGTGGTTTCCCATGGGATGGCCGTACTCTGACTCTACCTAGTTATCACTTGTGGGACAGGATGACACGTTGAGATGTGTGGCCCCAGAAAAGCCTGGAGAGTTGGGAGTCACAACAAGGGTACAGGCATGGGAGAGCAGATAGGCTGGTGGGCAGCAAAGCACCAGCACACATGCCCTAGTCTTTCCTCTGTAACGAGAGGCAGAGGGAGTGGACAGGATACGGAAGAAAAGAACTTCTTACATTAATAAACATTTTAGGGCCTCCTGGGTGGCTCAGTCGGTTGAGCGTCTGACTTCAGTTCAGGTCATGATCTTGCAGTTTGTGAGTTTGAGTGTGTGCTGACGGCTCAGATCCTGGAGCCTGTTTCAGATTCCGTGTCTACCTCTCTCTCTGCCCCTCTCAAAAAAATAAATAAACATTTTTTTAAAAAGTCTTTAAAGGGGCGCCTGGGTGGCGCAGTCGGTTAAGCGTCCGACTTCAGCCAGGTCACGATCTCGCGGTCCGTGAGCTCGAGCCCCGCGTCAGGCTCTGGGCTGATGGCTCAGAGCCTGGAGCCTGGTTCCAATTCTGTGTCTCCCTCTCTCTCTGCCCCTCCCCCGTTCATGCTCTGTCTCTCTCTGTCCCAAAAATAAATAAACGTGAAAAAAAAAATTAAAAAAAAAAGTCTTTAAAAAACACATTCTAGTTGTTTGCCATAGAAGCTGTCTTTTTTCTAAAATCAGGACAAATATGAGATGGTCTCTGCAGAACCCTTCGTCCCCAAGACACATAACATGCTATGTGCCTTTTTCTCCCATATTTTAAGTGTCTCTGGCCTCTGTAGGCTGGACCTACCAAAACCAGCTTTTGGTACCCCTCTACACCTAGATTGTTGGGGCACAGAGGAGATACCTCCCAGTGTGGCTACCAAGCTAAGAATGGCTCTCACTCCCATGGCACTGGTCCCCAGGACACCGAGTGGGGTTTGAGGTTCTAATAAATCAGAGTTTTCCCCTTTGGGCTATGAAACAATTGGAAAATAGAAGAATCAGACAGGGATCAATGTATCAGTTTTGTGGGTGGTAAAGTTGTATGGGAAAATAAGGTTTGGATCTGAGGCTTAATGAGGTTTGGCACTTGGGCTTTCTTTCCTTCCTTCCTGAATTGAAATTTTGGACGCAGTCATAGGCAGAGACATTGAGTGACTGCCGGCCTGCCCAGGTGAGCTCACTACCGGAAGAAGACAAGAATGCTTGTGGCCTGCGTGCAGGCCAATGAGGAGTGGGAAGTTGTCAGAGAGAAAGAGAGTGCATATGTCAGGAAGGGGATCACAGCCTGGGTGGGCCTGACTTCATCAGGTCAAAGCTCTTCAAAGGGACTGGGCTGTCCCCTGAGAAAGAGATTCCCCTTGCTGGCTTGACAAAATAAGCCACATATTGAAGGAAGGCCACAAGGCAAGGAACTGGGGTGCCCTTTATGAAATGTGGGCAGCCTCCAGGTAACATCAGCAAAAAGTCAGGGTCCTCAGTCATACCACCACAAGGATGTGAATTTTGCCAACAACCTGAATGCGCCTTGGAAGCAGCTGCCTCCCCAGTTGAGTCTCCAGATGAGAATGCAGCCAGCCAACCCCTAGACTGTAGCCCCTGTGAGACCTTGAGCAGAGGACTCAATTAAGCTGTGTCTGGACTCTAGCCAACAGAAAATTGTGAAATAAAAATGCATCTTGTTTTAGGTCACTAAGTTTCTGATAATTTATTATGTAACTAGGAAAACTAATACTATCCCCTTGGAGAGAAATGAAGGGGACAGGAATAAATGGTGGAGAAAAGAGATGTAATGTTTCTGTGAAGGGAGCAGTTATTTTATGGACCCAAGAAGTGTGGAAGGAAGGAGAAAAGGTCCTTCCTCCCATTACACTCAGTCTTTATTGTCCCTCACACCATCCTATTTCTTTTCTGAACTGGATTTTTGCAAGAAAGAGAAATAGAGTTTGAATGGAAATCAGAGACAAGCTACACTATCATTTGCACCATATAGAGAGGTTCTGTCAACACCCCTGTTTGAGAATCCTTTTCTTCTTGTTTTTTTTTTTATATTTATTTTATTTTATTTTTGAGAGACACAAGCAGGGCAGGAGCAGAGTCAGGGGAGAGAGGATCTGAAGTGGCCTCTGTGCTGACAGGCTGACAACAGAGAGCCCAACGTGGGGCTCAAACTCACAAACCATGAGATCATGACCTGAGCCAAGTCAGAGGCTGACTAAGCACCCTAGGTGCCCCTCTTCTCAGGTTTTGATTTTGCAATTCTTCCTTCTGTTCCATGACATGTCCAACTATCCTTCCAATAAATCCTTCATCCTGCTTTTTAAAGAAAAAAAATTCTTGGGGCATATGGGTGACTCAGTCGGTTGAGCATCTGACTTAAGTTCAGGTCAATATTTCATGGTTTGTGAGTTTGGGTCCCGCTTTGGGCTCTCTGCTGCCAGTGCAAAGCCCACCTCGGATCCTCTGTTTCCCTCTCTCTCTGCTCCTCCCCTGCTTGCATGCTCTCCCTCTCAAAAATAAATAAACATTAAAAAGTTAGAAAAAATTCTTAAGCCAGCTAGAGATCGTTGTTCTTGCTTGCGACCCAAATAAATGTTACAACCTGTTAAATTTTGCTGTTAGTCTAATTGCCATAAATTAGCCCCCAACACAGTGCCTATCCTCACTGTTTTTCTTCTGGAATAAGAACCTTGGACTCTTTTCTGGTGTCTTTGGTCCACTAATTTTCCAGCCCTATCATTGTCCCTGTTGCTGATGATCTCACAGAGATCAGTGCCAATCTGGTCCTAACTTTTTAGCTGGAGGCTGCTGCCACTGAGAACCCTCAAGCTGGTTTCAGGGAGAGGGACACCCATTCTTCTTTTAGCTCCACCTTCTTAAACATGGGATTTCCTCTTTTCTAATTCCCATCAGCCCAGCAGAGATCAGACTATGATTTTTACTAAAGCCTTGAATCTAACAGAAGTTTTTTGCTTCTAGCACTGGCCATCGTTAGAATGCACACGTGTGAAGCCAGCTCCAGAGCCCTTTGATGATGGGGCTACATCCCTTCCCGGCATCTGCTTGCTTCCACACATGCAGGTGCCATCTCTCTCCCATCTCTCCTGATTCCAGATCATCTGACCCTGATTCCCCAAATGGTAGGTATTTTCTTTTCTACACCAATTTTGTTTTTGTCCTGAGATTAACTTTGTCCTTCAATGACTGATGGTGGAAATATCCATTACATTCAGGGGTAACGTCAACTCACCCCCAAGGCTGAATCTATCTGCATTATCTCAAACATTGATACATTGGTTCCATATGGCATTAGCCAAGGTCTGTCTTATTCAGTATCAGCTAATGTTGTTTGTCTACATGAACAGTCTAGTCTAGCTCGTGTTGGATGGATCCAGCGTCCATTGTGATGGATCTAAACGGCACAGTACCTTCCTCCCGTTCCCTACTCCCAATCTTAATATTGGGTCTTTTGGGGAAACAACAGTGGATAAGGAAACAAGCCCATGGATACATCACTCAAAAACAAACAGTAATTTTCAAGCACCTCTCTCCTGAAATATAAGTTAAGAAAAAGAGAAAAAAATCCAATCAAATATGTAAATGGTGAGGATAAATTACTCTAAATGTGTGATATTAAATAGTACACTTGAAGGCTCAATTTGAAGCATCAACATTTGGATTGCTTCATGGCTCCCAGATCTTCCTCAAAAATTTTAGTGTGTTCTTGTTTTTGGTTTGCATTGGTAATATGCTTCTTTTGATTTTTTTTTTCCAAACTAAGGAGTACTTTCCTCCAAAAGTTCAATTCCAGTCTCCAATGGATTCCCTTTGGCTGTTTGATAGGGTGGAGGAAACCTTCTATTAGATGTTGGAAGAATGAATTCTAGTTCTTGCTCTACACAGACTAGTCACATTAGCTTCAGAATTCATTTAATCTTTCTAGAAACTTTATTTTATCTGTTAAAAGAGATGAAATATATGCTATTGTCTAGTCCTAAGGTTCTATGCTTACCTGGGCGTTAGTAGACAGGGTGTGACTGGGGCAGTCATACCAGGTACATGAGAACTTAGCTGCTTTATTCCAGAAGGAGTCAGGAGCCTCTCATGCTGGCTGTTCTGCTCATGTTTGTGGGTAATAGATGTGAAGGGGACAGACACATACTGCTCATTGAAATGTGCGTGTAGGATAGGACCTACCTCCTGGGTGAAGGTGCCACTGTTTTCTCCTGTCCAGACCAATGCCTCTGAAGCATCACCAGGCAGGGCTTATCTGACTGTTGTGGAGGACATGGCATCTTTGAGCTAACATCGACCCCACCTTGTTCTAGCCCACCCATTTCTGTGTTCGGATTGTTCCTTGGCCAAATATTTCATGTTACATATAAGACCTTTCTGTTTGTAGGATTACCTGGTCCTCCTATTTCCCTCTGGTCCCTGGGGCCACTGGTAGCTGGGTTGTGTCCTTGTTTTCCCTCTTTTCTCTATCATCTAGAACTTTCTGAGTACCTTTGTCTCATGGGGCCATTCCAGTCTAGCCCAACCCTTTTATCAGCAGGCCCTGCTTTCTTACCTGGCCTTTGCTCTCCCTCATACTGCTCCCTAGGTAGCAACTCCCAACCTGGGGACAGGGCCAAATGCATTGGAGCCAGGAACTAGGGGTCCAAGATGAGCTACTGTCACTCAGGAGCCCACATTCCCCCCCCCCCCCATCACAGACAGGGTCCCCTGGTGCTATGCTGGCACAGGATGACTCACAAGAGTGCACACCTCCTACCTGCCTGCCCAGCTGTATTTGTGTGTACAGATAGTGTGGTGCCAGACAGGCAAGCTTGGAGTCACTTAGGGGGATGATGAGATCCCTCAGTGTGTGTGTTTTAGAGTCTGCTGGGGACAATGCTATCAAACAGAGGGGTTTTTGTCCCTAATCACGTGGCTGGGTATCCAAGTCAGCAAAAGAAAACGGGTAGTAACTGAGAGAAATGAGGTGGCGAGCATTTAAGGGACATAGTTACTACTTTCTCCTCTCCTCCAGGTGTCAGACTTCCGAGGGAAAGTAGAGGTTGAACGCCTGCCATGTGTTGAGCTCTTCACTATACTCTTCTGCCTACCATCCCCCTCTCCATACCTACATTCACCCGCGTTATTCCTAGAAACCTCAGCTCCCATCCCAAACTCCTGCCCGGCCCTTACTCTACCAACAATTCATCACTTTCTAAATCTCACTTCCCATCTCCATACTATTCTCACAGGGTTAAGTTAATGACTTTCATATTATCAGTAAGGACTGCAGCTCAAAGGCACAGTAGTCTTGCTGAGGTCAAAGGGCCAGAAGGTGGGAGAACAATATTCTACCCTGGGTTTGTCTTTTTTTTTTTTTTTTAATTAAAAGTTTATTAATTTTGAGAGAAAGAGAGTGTGAGCAAGCGGGGGTGGAGTAGAGAGAGAGAGAGAGAGAGAGAATCCCAAGCCGGCTCTGCAATGATATTGCAGAGCCTGATGTGGGGTTCGAACTCATGAAGCATGAGACCATGACTTGAGCCGAAATCAAGACTTGGATGCTTAACCGACGGAGCCACCTAGGAGCCCCACCCCCTGGATTTGTCTTACTCTTTTTTTTTTTTTTTTTTTGTTAATTTTTTTTTAACGTTTATTTATTTTTGAGACAGAGAGAGACAGAGCATGAACAGGGGAGGGGCAGAGAGAGAGGGAGACACAGAATCTGAAACAGGCTCCAGGCTCTGAGCTGTCAGCACAGAGCCCGACGGGGGGCTCGAACTCACGGACCGCGAGATCATGACCTGAGTCAAAGTCGGCTGCTTAACTGACGGAGCCACCCAGGCGCCCCTGGATTTGTGTTACTCTACAGCTCACAGCAACTTATGGGCCAACAAGTACTCCCTGTGCCCCAGAGCCTGGGGTGGTGCTGGCTGCCAGACAATGAGCTGAGGTCTTTACTCAAGGAAATCAGAATTCAGTGCGGGGGTGGTGGTGGTGTTTTGCGCTGCTTTATAAAAGCAAGAGAAGAGGGGAGTCAGGAGGAACTTCCTGGAGGAGGTGACTTCTGATCTGGGTTGTAAAGGTTGGGTCGAAATTGGCCAGTTCAACTAGAGGGACAGGGGGCTCTGGCGGAGGGGCGGAGATAACACAGTCCTGGACACAAAAAAGAGCAGGGACGGAAACCATGGCTTCCCTGGCTGGGGATGGCCCGTGGGCATCAGGACGACTGTGGGAAATCGTACACCAGGTGGGGGTGTTAGCCTATTCCTGAAGCAAGAGGGACCTTCCTAAGTGCCAGTGGTGACAGCATGCAGTCAGGGACGTGCCTTAAAAAACAGACCGGCAGGAGTGCACAGAGGCGTGTGTGAGTATGAGTGTGAGCTTTTGATAAAAACGCTGAAGATGTGGAAACCCATTAAGAGGCTTTTCCAACAGGTTAGAACAAAAGTGACAGAGCCTGGACCTTGGTGACAGCAGGGGGATGTGAGGTGGGGTGAGCCTGCCAAATAATTGTGGTAGACAATAGACCAAGTGCAGAGATGGATTCACCGGTGGGGGGCCGCCGGCGGGCGGGGTGGCCAGCAAAAGGGAGGTGTCGGGGATGACGAGGATGTTGTTAGTTAAATCACTTCGGTGAATGATGGTACCACTAACTCAGATAAGGAATGTGCGAGGAAAATAATAAGGTCAGTTTGGGACACAGTAGTGGAGAGCAGCACGCTTCTGCACGTTAAGGCTGGGGGCGGTCTCCGCTGTCCCCTGCATGATGAGGGGAGGAAGGGGGTCGTAGGGGCGGTGGTCAGAAGAGAAAGGGGTTCTCCCAGGACATGGTCGGGGCCCGGGCTGCTATCCCGGCCGGCCGGTGAAGGTCGGCACTGGAGAAGCCCCAGCACCGGCTGTAATGCTAGCCTGCATCCCCGGCTCTCTGGTCACACCAGTGCCCCCCTCTCTGCTTGTCATGAGTCAGACACTGACAGCCTCCATGGTGCTGGCGATTTATCAGTGAGTGGAAAAAGATAATTGACCACCATCTCACCTCGCCTCGCCTCGGCTGATAGAGAGAAATCTAACTGCTTCATTCCACTGTAATTTCATATAATTCTCCATCTTTTTCTCCCTAGTTTTTACTTGGAAGTTTACACAAGTGATTGATGATTTGCTATCAAATATAAAAAAAAAAAAAAGAGGCTAAAATATCATTGGACAGTTTAACAGCCTTTAAAATATAATGGTCTCTCTGGCTGGACATCCGTAGTAGCCGTAGGAGCCCAGAAGGTCAAGCTTTAATGAACTGGTGGGAAATTAGGGAAGGAAAGCGAGAGTGATCCATGCTCAGAGCTGGCTCCACAGTCCGCTGACCTTGGGGGAAGAAGGCATCTTGTGATTTATGGACCCCCTCTGGGAGCGTTTCTGGGGCTGTCGGTAGCCCTTGGGGAGGGTGGCGGGGTTGGCCTGTGATGGGGGCTGTGACGGCCCTGGCTCCTGAGGCCGTTTGCTGGGGTCTGGCCCCTGGTTGTCCTCTCAAGATCACCCAGGGCTCAGCCTCTCAGCAGTGATCTCTCCGGCCTTCTGCCTCAGGGACAGCCAGCCTCTGACCCTGTCCGGAGAGCTCAAATGTTCCCCCCACCATCAGTTTTGTTCCCTGGAACCCTCTGACTTGCTCTCTGTATCCATATTGCTTCATTCCTGGGAGTGGAACTAGCCATAAAGCCTCTTTGCATATCAACCTCTGAGCGTATCAGCGTGATGTGGCAGGCAGAGGAGGGGAAGGACAGTTACCTCCTTATGCACTCATGCATTGTTCCAGGCCCTAAGCTGTATAGCATCTCATCGGAATCTTTCTCCTACCTCTCAGGGAATTATTATAAAGCTCGCTTATAGATGAGGAAACCGTGCTTCAGAAGACGCAGTTCAGAAGCTGCTAGACCGGCAGCCAGTGATCCTGGTTCCTGGCATTCGTGTCCTTATGCAATCCCCTGCCCTGGGGTGTGAGCCAAACCCAGAGATTTGTTTCTAATGAAAAGAATACGGCAGAAGTGATGGCATGTCACTTGTGAGATTCGGTTATTAAAGACTTTAACTTTCATCTTGTTCTCTTGCTGGCTCAGTCTGATGCAAGCCGGCTACCTCGGTGGGAGCTGCCTCATGGAAAGGTCTAAGTGGCAAGGAACTGAGGGACACCTCCAGCCCACAGCCCGGGAGGCCCTGCGTCTCGTCAACAGCCAAGTGAGTGAGGTTGGAGCCCGGAGCGTACCTCCGTGGGTGAAGCTGGGAGAGGTGTGCAGCCCCAGCCAGCACCCTGACTGTAGCCTGGCAGACCCTGGACACAGGGCCCAGCTCAGCTGCACGTGGAGTCCTGACCCACAGCAACTGCAGGGTAATAAATGGGTGTTGTTTTAAGCCTCTAGGTTTTGGAGTATTTTGCTATGCAACAACAAACAAATAATCAGAACAGTCAGATAAGTGGTGCAAAACAGACAGTTAATAAGCGGCAGCATTCAGACTCAAACTTGGGACTGCTTGATTTTAAAGTGTCACGATCTTTTCATGATATTATATTGGTTTAAAAAAAAAAAAAAAGAAGATTGACATGTGCCTGCAGCTCCAGGAAGAGCTAGACTGGAGAGGTAAATTAAGTCCGTTGGACAGTGGGATCCTGAGATAAGCAGAGGGCCAGGCCCTCATGGAGAAACCGTGTATTCTATCTCTACCTGCCCATGGCCCCTCCGGGGGAGCTGCAGAGTGACTGCCCTTCCCCAGAAAGGTCTTTCCCATTAAGCAGATTGCACTTAGGAACACCCGCCCAGGAGCGCTCCAGCTGATTTAAGCATCTTTGCTTTTAATTTTTGGTACCTTTCAGAGGGAAAGAGAAAAATAAGGTTAGTTTCCTGAAGTGTAATTGTTTCGGGCAGTTATTTATTAATGAAAGGGAACAACATGTCAACAAAGCCCGGGTTTAGCTGTAGAACTAATGTTAGCCAAGGCGCAGGCTATAAGATAGGTAAGTCTGCTGTCAGTCTGCATTTGTCCAGCTCCATGATCACCTATTAATTACTTGTGTTCCGGCCCCAGCTGGGGGACAGTCTCTGCTGCCTCCCCCTTGAGGGCTGCTGAGCTCCAGGGGTGGGGAGGCACCCTCTCTGACACGGTTCTCCTTACGGAGTTGTGTGGGCCTTGGCGAGTCCTCCAAGGTTCTGAAGACTCACTCTGGGCCTGTGCCCCAGGGTGGTGGCGGGATAAGGCCAACAGCTTCCTCTGTGGAAGAAGCGGGGTGTGGAACTTTGACCTGGGTTGTCGGTGAGTTGCGTGAACATGTTGTATTTGGAGTCAGTGAGACCGTGGGGGACTGTTTTAAGTTTCCTCGTGTATAAACAGGGGAGGGGGATGATAGGACATCCCTCACAGGATAGAAGGATCGAATGTGGTAATGCACATGGAAACTTGTGCAACATAAAGCATGCTACAAATCGCGTGCACGTGCACACGTGTGCAGGCGGGCCTGTGAGTTTGGTCAAGGTGGAGTAACACTCATGGGGAGGACCCAAGGAAACGAAGTAATTGACCTGAAGAATCCTCTCGCCTGGAAATTAGAAAGGTGTATGTCAGGGATGCTCATGACAACATCTTTTTCAGCAAAAATTTCAACAAAACTCTTGCCTAATAGTAGTTTAGACTCATGAAGGCATTAATGATTCCTTTGCTGGGCTGATCCACTGCTCTGTGCTGTCACCAAGGTGTTGGGCACTCCACTATCCTTGACGTGTTGGTTTTCTGCCCTCACACTCACCCCCTCATTACCATGGAATGGCTAGCAGCTTCTCACTCAAGACAGGAAGAAAGAAGGGACTTCATAAGCTGTATCTCTCCATTTTCCCTTGGAAAGCAATTTTTTTTTTCCCCAGAAGCCCCTGTCCAAAATTGGTCCCATGGCTACTCAGATTGTATGAGAACCCACAAGGAAGTAAGTATATGTCCTTTTTTAAAAAAAAATCATGAATAGCAGGAAGAGAGCAAGAGAGAAGGGGTTAGAAATGGTGTCTGAGTGGCTCAGTCGGTTGAGTGTCCGACTTTGACTTAGGTCACGACCTCACGGTTTGTGGGTTCAAGCCCCGCATGAAGCTCTGTGCTGACAGCTCAGAGCCTGGAGCCTGCTTCGGATTCTGTGTCTCCCTTTTTCTCTGCCTGTCCCCTGCTTGTGCTTTGTCTCTCTCTCTTTCTTAAAAATAAACACACGTTAAAAAAAAAAAATGGCTAAGTTAGCTAATCGATGGGCCTTCCAAAAGGCGTCAGAAGCACAGATGTTAGAGCAGGAAGGGGCCTTGGAGACGGACTGATGTAGCCCCAGAGAGGTTATTACTTGTCTGAAGTCACAAATTAAGTGGCAGACACTACAGTGCTTAGAAGGGGGCATAAATGGATTACTTCCATGTTTCACATGGATTATGAGGCATTTGAGAAAAAGTCCCTTATATGGAATAGCCTGGAAACCTAGGGTTTCAAAACATATCTGTAGTTTTTTTCTAAATAGTTACGTGGTTTTCTAGGATACAGAGATAAATTAAGTTACAGAGATAAAAAGGAAAATGGAGGGTATTGGCCATCTAGATCTGTCTGTTTTGTGGCTGCAGAGGTTTAAGACGAGCAAGTTCGGGGGGACCCAGAAAGCCATGTACCAACTCTTCACTATACAGCCATAAAACATCACACAGTGTGGAGAGGCTGAGGGGGCTGAGACAGCCAAGGGGGTTAATTCAGGCTCAGCAAATATTTGGTGTGTGCCCATCCTTTGCCCAAAGCCAAATTAGAGCCTGTGGTAGATATAGAATAAGTGCTATTCAATTCAATTCATTTTGACCCAACAAACACCTACCAAGTGTGCTTGTTCCAGGCATGATAAATATATAAACATAAATAAATGATGCTTTCCCTCCAAGTGCTCCCAAATAGAATGGACAATAACACGGGCATCTCACTGAAATGCTATAAAATACTTACTATAATACAGACACGAACCAAAAACCAATGGAGCTCTGTGGACCCAACAAGAGGGGCACTTTGAACGACCATTCATTCCAGAGTCCCACAGAACAGAAAAGAGATTGAGAGCACGATGCCATCAGATTCTCTAGAATGGAGAAACCGATAGGCCAAACATTCCAGGCTGGTGAACATGAGAAGTTCAGATAACACTATGGAAGCTAAGAGGAGTCACCAGGACTGGATCTGCTTGAAGAAGACCTGGGGTAGTGGACCTCACACGGGAGACCTGGAAGATGGTCCAAGGAGGAAGAATACTGGGAGGGATGAGTGAAGTGTTGCAGGCTGAGCCAAGAGAAAGAGGTGGGAATGTGTGTGATATATTTGGAAGCCTGGCCTAATGCAAAAGGACCCAAGGGCAACCTCTTTCTTCCTTCTCTCCAAGCTCCCAGTCACCAAGGTCCAAAGGGTTTTCTTATATTTCTTTAAAAAAAATTTTTAAATGTTTATTTATTTTTGAAGGAAAGAGAGACAGAGTGTGAGTGGGGGAGGGGCAGAGAGAGAGGGAGACACAGAATCTGAAGCAGGCTCTGGCTCTGGGCTGTCAGCACAGAGCCCGATGCGGGGCTCGAACTCACAAGCTGTGAGATCATGACCTGAGCTGAAGTCGGACGCCCAACCGACTGAGCCACCCAGGCACCCCTTCTTATATATCTTATATGGTCCCAAGCAGAGGTATTCCCCCTGGCCAAAGAAGCCCACCCTTTAAGTGCATTCTGAAGAGAGAGGCAGAGCGGTCAGCAAACACTCGAGGCTTGAATGCTGGAGGTCATGGGTGGCCCACTTCAATTTTAGTCTCAACTCTGGGAATTCGTAAAAGACTGACTCTAATCTCTCCCTACCCCAGACCGCACCCCCAGAAGGACAGGGTGAAAAACGAGAAAGTTACAATTTTTTCCAATCACGGGGCTGGGCGGGGAGGGGGGGTGGGCATGCCATTGCCATTCCAGGGGGCAATCCACCTCTAAAGAGTTGTTCAAAATTCGATGTTCATACCCTTTTCTATGTTATCTCTAGATTTCTCCTTTCAAGGCATTTCAAGATAAAGGAAGCTCATGAAAAGTTCCAGATAAAGATGCAGGATGCTGAAGAATCAATAACATTTATTGAGTGCTTACTAAGTGCCAGGCACTGTTCTAAATGTTTTACATGCAAAGCTCACTTAACAGGGAGAAGGTCCTGCTGCCGGGACAGCCAAGCCCCCATAGGCCGCTCCACATACTTCTGTGCAGGCTGACAAAATGCAAGAAGGTACCTGTGCAAACATGGCTTTTCATCATGGTCAGGAAGACACATGACCACTGGGTCCATTTCAATGACTTCATCCATTGTGCTCAACCTCCTGACTCTGCCCCTATAGCTATTTTGACATTCATTCACATACTAGCCAAAGCTTTCCTGTCCCCACTACCTCCATGTAGGCTGCAGCTGGATAAACCATCACTTACACCCATTTTCTGGAAAGCTCTTCTTTGGGCAAGTGCTCATTGAGTTTCTGAGAAAAGCTGCCATGGGGGCCAACGTACCACCTAGGGAAGAAACCCATCAGCAAGGACAGGCTCGGAGCTCCCCAGAACAGCGTCTGATTGTCATAATGTCATGTTGGAGAAACGATAACCTTACCCTGCTTAAAGAGAAACCTCTTGCGTGTCACCAACAATCATGCAAACTAGACTCTTAAAATGAGATTAGGTCAAAGTACAACCAATCAAAGTGGGAGTCTCAGTCGCTCTATGACTTCATTTAAAGTTTCAGTGCCAGCAGGAAGAAGAAAGAAATCAATATTACATTTTCTTCATCATCAATTTTGCTTTTTGCTAAATGAAAATGCTTTCATTCCCTCCCTGGTTCCTTCCACCATGGAAGATGTTCCTCGTCTCCTCCCCACTCTCCCCCGTTACTATCTTCACCCCCATCCTGTTATGCCATGTAGGACAGTGCCGTACGTGTGCCTTTTTGGACTAAGCACTTAAGAGTATTGCAGAGGATGTCATCTTAATTCACCAAAGATTTGCGAGTATGACAGTCCTCGCTCAGCTGGCCTTCCTGCTGCAGCTGGGCTCTGACCGTGTTCTGCTCTATGGATGGAGCGTGGATAACTTACTCCAAACAGCTCTTGAGGCCCCAAGGGCACATCCCCCCTCAATGCCCTGTGCCAGGCTGTAGTACCAGACCCTGTAGAAGGGAATTTGATAGGCAAGGTGAGCCCTTCTTGGATTCATTCACGGGCTTGGGTTACAGAAGCAGCAAAGGGACCTCATTATAAGATGTTCTCACCTGCTCCGTTACAGAAGAACTGTAAGGCTTTTGCTGAACAACACAGTGGTCTCGTTCCCACAGTGGTCCCCACAGCAGTGACCTTCAAGGGCTCTCAACCAGCTCCCACTCTATTGGCGCTAAGATGGTCCCAATCCAGGACTTGACTCACTCGGCAGTATTTGCGAAGAGAGACAGAAACAAGAATTTTGCAATAGAGGAAGGAAAAAATAATACAAGTCCACGGGGCTGGAAACTCATTTCCTGAGGAGTAGAAACACATCGCATGCTCTCTGGGACTCACCGAGCTCCAGGAAGCTCGACCAGTCACTTAATAAGTCATTGAGGACGTGTGGTTTAATTAACTCGCCCAAAATTCCTCCTTTCCCTTTCTCACTTTTGCTATTAATATTTTTCGATATCTGATAATGCAGTGTAGTTAATTCTTTCTGGCTTTATAATGAACACTGCCATAATGAAAAAGGTTAGCAGTGCTTCAGGCAGCTTTTAATTATCCAGCCGAGCAGGTAAAAGCACTTTATTCTTCTCTTTTTTTCCCCTTACTTAGCAATTAATGGAGGAGCTCAGTGGCACTTACTGTACCTTTTTTGTTTTCTAATGGATGATGCGGCACGGAGCAGGGAGGCCTTACTGTACCCCTGTTACTACCAAGTGCAAACGCTGGATGTTGCACTGCTGCGATTCAGGTCTCTGGTTTGCGGGGCGGAAGCAATTCTGCTGCCGGCTGAAGGCTTCTCTAATTAAAAAGCCGAGTTACCTGGAGTTGTTGCTACCAATTCCCTGTCTCGCAGTTTCCTGTCTTTGCATCTGCACCCAGAGCCCTCCAGAATGCTTTTATAGGCCAGGTGGCCTTGCTTTATGGCAGACATTTTCCTGGTTCTACTCAATTGGGCCACCTTCCTTCTATCCTCCCTGCCCGCCACGGCGAACAACAGCCTTGGGATTGTTCTCCTTACTTTATAGACAGGGAAACTGAGGCCCAAGGAGGTTGTCTGCTTGGCCAAGAGCCCTTTCCTTCCGTGCTTAATGACGCCCATCCTCGAGCTAACTGTGATACCCCCTTATAGGAGGAAAGAGTTTAAAAATTATGTGAGCTGCTTCGAAGTTTACTAATCCATAAAGTCACAGGGAGCAGATTTTTATTACAGGTGGAATTATCTGCATGATTCCTCTTCATTAGGCAACAATATAAAACAAAACAAAAAAATTGTTCAGGGAGCGTATGTCACATCTTTCTGTGGGTTGAGAAAGGCTGACTGTCCCACAGACTGCATATTCTGGTCCCTTTAGAGGGGCTGGACCAAGCTTTATAAGAGTCCAGGGCCTTCTGAAGAAGAAGGGATAGATAGAGACCCCACACCCTCTAAGGTCTAGAGTGGGGACAATCTCAAGGTGTACCCGTGGTCCTGTGCAAAGTCTATCTGAAGGGAGGGATGCCAGAAGCATTAGGCGGGAATATCCCAGGGATCAAGGGCAACCAGAGCTAGTGATCTGGGCTTGACCCCAAACTGCTGGGTTTCTGGAGTGGGCCAGCAGCTACACTTGCCTGGCAATGTACGCTGGGAATGAGGACCGGCATCTGAGAAATGAAGAGAGATCACTGTTAGGGCGGGAGCCCTTTGGAAGGTGGTTTACGATGTGACATCACTCAGGGTACTTGTCTAATTGTCTCTGTTTTCCAGTATCTCTTTAGGGATAAGCTTTGAAAAAAGGGGAGATAAAAGGTAAATTTTGGAGCATCATTTGTGCCAAATATTCGCTCCATTCTCTTCCCACCCACATTCTAGGTTCACAAACTTCCGGCCAGAAAAAAAATCTCACCAGTGCCGCTGTGGCAATAGGACTTGAACATTGAACTCATCAGATCCTTGTTACACCCCATGAGGTTTTGGCTGCTTGTGGTCCCCTTCATGTCATCTTAACTTAGTTGGGGTTAAAATTATCACTCACTTTTATTGCCAGTGCAAACTTTAAGCAGTAGCAATGGCAGTGTTGGATATGGAAACTTGTCTATAGGCAGCAAGAAATGGTCAGACCTCCAAATCTACCAGGCTCAATAGCCACCTGAGTTTTAGGGAGAATTCTAGAATATTACCTTGCAGCTCAGCAGGTCCCATTGTGACCTCACGCCCACAGGGGTGGGTTAGACTAGTCTTCAGCTACCAACATGACAAGGCTGGTGGAGAGAGCTCACCTTCCAGTCCTCCACTCAACATCTGGGGACAGAATTGGCCCCAGGGGACTCCATTTCACAGAGGTTCTTGGGCAACTTGGGGGAGGGTTGGTAGCTTGAGGATATGCTGGCTTTTCTGTAAGTACTCAAGTGGATGATATCTGTCAAAACACTTATTTTATATTTGAAAAGCACTTTGAAGTTTTCAAAACAATTGCAGAACCATTATCACACCTGATTCAAGTAACACTTTCAAGTGTCGTGAAAATACTCCCCATTTTACAGATGAAAAAGTCAGAGCAATAGAGGTCACTTCCCTCTTTAGAGCGGTGTTTCTTAAGAAAAGGTGGTTCTGCCCCCCAGGGAATACGTGGAAATGTTCTGAGATATTTTAACTCCTGGGTGGCAGGGGAGATGCCGTGCTACTGGCATCTAGTGGGTAGAGGCCAGAGATGCTGTTAAACATCTTGTAATGCACAAGACAGCCCCCCAAGACAATGATCTGGCCAAAAGTATTGACAGCCTGGAACTGGAGAAACCCTGATCTAATGGCATGCAGGTAATGGACGGAAGAGCTGGTGATTTTTTTTTTCGACTAAAAAACAATTTTTAATGTTTATTTACTTTTGGGAGAGAGAGAGAAAGGGAGAGAGTGAACGAGTCAGGGAGGGGCAGAGAACGAGGGAGAGAGAGAGAATCCCAGGCAGGCTTCGTGCTATCAGCACAGAGCCCGAAGCAGAGCTCAAACTCATGAATGGTGAGATCATGACCCGAGCCAAAATCAAGAGTCAGACGCTTTCCTGACAGAGCCACCCAGGCACCCCAAGAGTCAGTGATTTTTAAAGTTGATGTCACAGTAAATTCATAATGTGCCATCTGTTGAATATTTACTGAGTACTGTTCTGAGGGTTTCACACCCATCAGCTCAATCATCAAAACGGATCCTGAGTGGCAGGAATTATTACTCTACTTTCAAATGAGGAGATCGAGACTCAGAGGGGTCAATTAAGTTGTCAAGGGGCACATGGCAGAATGAACAGTGGAACTGGTGTTCTCTTATTCCTGGACTACTCCTGCTTCCACTTTCCTGGCTCCCTGCAGCATGACATAGACAGGAAACTCCCTACCTGATGAGCACCATGCCCAGAATGACTATTCCTTATAGGCTTACATGGTCAGGATTGTCAGAGAGAGTGAGTTTCAAGAACATCGTCTCCTCCTTATTCTTTCAAGCATACAAGTCAAGATTCAGGGAACACAATGGCTCATTGACATACGCTCCTTCTCCCCTCTTACACCTATGGCACAATCCTTGACATGCATCCACATCATTCATTCACTTATTCATATACTCACTCTAAAATATTTATCAAGGGTTGAGGACACTAAGAGGAAAGAAATATATGCTGTCTCTATTCCCAAGTTACTGACAGTCTATTGGGTCAGACAAGCCTAAAAAAAAAGCATTATATTACAATGTGTGTAGTGCAGTGATAGAAATACGGCCAAGTTGTCATAGGAGCATAGAAAAGGGGGCCCTAACCAGCCTCGGGGGACTGGGAGTCATACAAGCCTTCCAGGAAGTCGTCGCTGAGAGAGGTCTTAAAGGCTGAGATGGAATACATCAAATATGGAAGGGGAGAAGAGAGGACAGGGAGACAGAATCTGGAAGGCCTAGAGCTTCACGGAAATACAGGTGGTCCCAGGTTACCGGAATGCCAGTCACAAAGCAGGGAATGGAGATGGAGAAGTGGGCTACAGCCTGAAAGCGGGGTGGTAAACGCTAGGGAGACACTGAGGAGGGGAATGCATTCTAATTCTCAGGTTACAAACTCTTAGGGAGAAGCCACTGTGTATTTCAGATCAGATTGTGCTTCAATTCGTGTGGAAGACAGGTTCGAGGGATTCCAGGCAGGAGGCAGGGGGGGGTCAGCCAGGAGGAGTTCAGGCCAAGAGCCTAAACCAGAGTTGGAAAAGGAGGGGATGAGTTAAAAAGTGTTTGGGAGGTAAAGTCAGAAGAATTGGGTGTCTGGGTCTAGGAACGAATGGAAAAGGGTAAGCTACGTTTGACATTGTTGCCTGAGTGGTTTGTGGGGCATTCAGGCAGATCTCTGTCCAGTGGACCGCTGGCCATACAGGTCTGAACTTGGAGGGAAAGAGATGGGTTGGAGATACAGATTTGGGGGTCGTCAGCAGAAGGGTCAGAGTTACAACAAGGGAAATCGGTTGAGCAAATTGGCCTGACTACCCTCCCCAGTCCATCAATCTGTGACCAAAGGGCTGGGCAGATGTACAAACGTGGCTGTTGGGAGCCCACCCATGGAGGAGAGTATTTAAAGATGGTAGGAGGGCATTTTCAAAAGTCATTGCAAGCTAAATAAACAGCTCCAAAGAAGGCAGTTGCCTCTTGGCAATCAACCTCGACCTTCCTACTCAAGATAAACATCATACACAGGCTCAGTGGGAAGCTATATTTTTCCCTCTCCCATTATGAAAAGAATGGCTGTTGTCTTGGACACAAAGCCAACAGTTCACCAACCCTACAGTCTCTGCTGGCTTAGACTTGAACTATTCCTCAACCGGGTCAATATTCACTGCAGGGCCATGAACCATGGGAGACCCTACCTGGAATCCAGACTCCTGTCCAAGACTGCAAGTCACTGGATCTCCCACATCATTCCTCTATTGGCTATGTCGTAGTCCTTCCTACATGGCAGGATATGTATATGTATGCAGTCCCATGGTCCCCACATGACTGGGAACATGCAAGCATACTCATCCCCCCCTCTTCCTAGTACCGCACATACTTAGAGTTAGAAAAACATGTCCTTGCATATCAACACCTGGCACCTGGTATAAAATAAATCCAGACTTAGTAATTATCCTAGGACTTCGCGGCGTTTTCTTCTGACCAGTGTTGAAGGCTGGTGCCAGTCACCATAACTAGGTGTGAATTAACGCAACAGCATCCGAGCCGCAGAGCCTCCTGGGCTTGTGTTTGAAACACAGAGCTGTGTTTTAGAGCCGTGGATAAAGTTCATTAATAGGTGTGAGCACAGTTCTCAAAGGGCAGTTCTGCCATATTTCCAGTCACTGTTCAGAATTCTCATTAGCCAATTACTCTGCTCCCGTCCTTCTAGCTCCCGCGGTAATGTGTATCTTAAAGCCCCTGGTAAGACACAGCATGTTTTAAATGTACCTTAATGTATTGGAAATGCACGAGTCCCCTTCGGGTTTATATATCTTAACCACTGGCCAATTTTGCAAAGTTATAAATAAATGTTACAGGCATCAGCTGCAGTAGTAGAATCAGCTGGGGATATTTAAAAGCCAGTCTAAAGTCTAACTTACCTCTAAATCTGAGATATAAAGCAGGGTAAGCAAAGCAGGTAGGAATATGCAGATAATTTCCTGGTAATAAAATCAACAACCTTGACATTGGAAGTGAGATTGAGCGGGAATAGGGCTGGTGGGGGCAGCAGCTTGGTTGAATTAGCAAGTATTTCTGTACAGGTGACTGTGCTGGGCATTGTGGGGATACAGAATACAGAATATCATCACAGTTCTGCCCATCAAAGGGTTTATAAACAGGCACACGGTGATGAGATAAGGTCCTAGGTAACAGAGAGTTTGAGGGGAATGACACTATAGAAGGAGAAAATGTTATGGGGACCAAATTGGGAGGGTTCAGAAAGGAGTTCTTTGAAGATCTGACATTTAGAAAGTCACCACAGCCAAGGGAATAGGGGAAGGAAGACAGAAGAGGACTGTCCGGAGATCTGCCGGACAATCAGATGGGAGTTTGACTCCAGGCTCCCTAAGGTCAAGATCCCCATCACATTGACCTTGTTCTCTTCCATAGCATGTAAGGATAGGCTACTGAGTACCTGGTAATCTTCAAGTGCTGTACTGTTTTATGCATATGTATTTTATTTACTATGCAGCAAACCCTAAATACAGAGTTTTATTATTCCCATTTTACAGATAGGGAAACCAAGGCTTTGGGTGGTTAAGCAATGTGTTCAAGGCTACACAGCTAGAAGTAAAGTGTCCTGACTTCCCAACAGAGTTCCTGGCACACAATAAGTTTTCAATATATAATAGTTAAGTAAATGGGTGGGTTTATGGATGGGCGAGGGAAGAATGGATGGATGGATCGACCAATGACAGGTGGACAAGTACACGATAGAACTAAGGCGTCTGGAAGAGATGGAGAGGTCAGGCAGGGGAAAGGGGGTTAGGGGAAAAGCAAGTGGCCCTTAGAAAGCCAGGTTGACTCTGTGGTGTGCTAATTTTAATGGGGGGGGGGGAGGAGAATCAGAGGGGAGGCCAGACAACTGCTGAGACTACCTTTCCTCTGCTACTGAATTCATCCACAGGCTCTTCCATGAAAGACTGAGCTTCTGGTGGATCATCATTTGTATTACTTACTGGGGCCTGTGTAAGCAGTGAACCAAGGATCGGGTGCCTGATTCCCAAATCTGGCTTCACGAGTAACTTGCCAGTGAACTTGAGCGTCTCATTCTCCATCTGCCCGGTGTGGTGATGATGCTTGCCAAGCAGTCTCACAGGGTTCTGTTCTTTATCCTGTGCCTGAGGTTGGACCCGAGGAAAATTAGCCCACCTCTTTGCTTCTCGGATACCTCGGAACGATTAGCCCTGACTATAGGAGCTGTACCCCTTAGAAATGGGAGTAGACCCTGGGCCCTTCTAGATTGTTTCTAGAAATAGGCTCAGTCTTCAGATGCAGGCCTCACCAGAGCCCTTCCTTGGCAGCCTGCCTGTCCCGGTAGGGGAAGTGGTCCCTGGGAGAGGGAGCTAGTCTCGGAGACAGTTTGTCTGCCTTCTCTCCGAAGCTTCCTGTGTATGGGAAATGAATAGATCCCATGCACACCCTCCCTCCTCCTTGGCAGGCTACTCCCTGCCCTCCCCGTGAGGCTCCAGGAGCCTGTGACATTATCTGCAAACTCCCATGAGAGGCTCCAGACCACGGCCGTGAGCCCCGAGAATGATGAATATGCAGGAAGGGACGGTGTGCCAGACAGGGGAGCCAGGGCTGGGCGGGGGCAACCATGCAGGGCAAGGGAGCCAGGGCTGGACTGGTGGGGAGGGGCTCCCAGGGTCTGAGCACCCTTGGGAGAGGGCCCCATTACTGGCAGGCCAATTTGCCCTCCTAAAGAGCTAGAAGCTGTCATTTGTACGTCCGCATTCTCCAGAGCTGTGGACTCCGGAGTCTTAGAAATCCTCCTGGTGGCTGAGCCTCCCACTGGCCGCAATTAACCTGTTCAATACTAGGTCAGCAACTTTGCAGAGGATGTTTGCTGATGGCATTCTACTGGGTGCACTGGTACTGTTGACTCCGGTCCACAGAAAGCCTGACACGTCCCTTGTGGCAGACGAAAGCTAGGAGCAAATTCTGCCTGCATCACAGAATCCTTAGGCTGAGTGTGACATTTGGAGGTCACCTGGTCCATCCCTGTGCCTGCAGGCAGGCCTGGACATAAACCGGCCTAGACAGATGAGAATCTGTTCTCTCTCTCTGCCTTCAAAAACCTGAGGACATTTCATGTATCCCTTAGTGTCCAATATCCCTCAGCCCTGAGACTGTTCCTAGAGCTCATCTGTATTCCAGGGGTTCTCTGATAGGTGTCTCAAGGCAGAGGTGAGGAACAACCCATCGTGTGCTGTATGCAGTGGGTGCTACAGTGTGTTCCCACGGGCTTCTCAGAGCCCACCATGCACGCGTCCCTCTTCCAACTCAGGGTTCCGTGATATCACGTTGGTAGTTTGTGGTCAGCCACGGGACAAGTATTTACACCACGGAAATTGGCAAACACTGCCAATGAGGAGCAGCCTTTTCCCCCCAGAGGACAAGTTGCTCAACATTCGCTAGCACACAACTAGTTGTACACGGCAATACTCCTGCATAGAACTTGGGTAACAGTCATCCTCTGTACCCTTCACTTTAGTGTCTTGAAGCTCCCTCACTGGAGGGACCATAATTTCCCCGGAGCAGAGGCTGTGCCTTGCAGGGGATTTTTTTCCCAGCAGCTTGCATGGTGCCCGTTTGCCAAAGGAATGAAGGACACATATCAAATCATTAGGCTGAGTGGCTGTGGGTTTTCGTTGTCTTAGGACTCATGCACTCACACTGTTTGAGTCAGATTGGCCAAACAGGAGGTACATTTATCTGACTTGACTTCAGAGTTGTACCATTTAATTCAAGCAGGATTAATGAAACATCTACTCTATGCTCACCCTGTCCTAGGCTTTGGAGCCCGGGAGAAGGGGAAATTTATGGGCACCAGCGTCCCATCCCTTCTATTCTCAAATGACTTACACTTTGATTTGGAAGATAGGCATACGAGCAGACAGTTAGAAATCAATAGGGATATCTTTGAAGGTTGTGCCTGATGGATTTGGGGTGGTCATAAAACACAGCAGTAAGAACATGGGACACTGGGGTCAGGTTGCCTGTGTTCGAATTCCATTAGTAGTTATGTGACCTTGGAAGGCTTGCTTAACACCCCCGGCCTTGCCCCCCCCCCCCACTCCCACAACTCAGATTCCTCATTCTAAGGATATAATGAGATCTATCTCATAGAGTAGTTATCAGAGTCAGGGCATTCATGTTTAGAAACCACTTAGCACATTGCCTCGGATACAGCGAGTATAAAATATATAGTAGTTATTATTTGTATCTTACAGTCTAATGGCCTCTTTTTAAAAATGAATACATTGAGGCCCAGGAGTGGGAAAATGACTATTCGCCAATTAGTGGCACGCCTGAGATTAGCAGCAGTAACTAACTTTATCGATATAGGGGAAGGGACACGCCACAGTAACAAATCTATCCCCAATCTCTATGCCTTTGCACAATAAATGTGACTGTCCGTGCAAAGGCAGAGGCAGACCAGGCAACCCTGCCCCATTCAGTAGCTGCACCTGCTGGAGCCCATGGTCTCCAAGGCCACCGCAGCAGAGGCAGACAGAGGTGGAGGAGGTGTGCCAGCTGCTTTGGCCAGTCCATTGGTCAGAACCAGTTACGTGGCCCCCGCCCAAGAGTGTCTGGGGGCGCAGCCTGACGTGAGGTTATTTGGTGAACACAGCGCATGCCACGCTAACAGTACAGAAGATATCCCAAGGTGGCATATGATTAAGTGCTTAATAGCGGACAGATACTCTGTGCGACAGTCTGTGATTAAGTAGCCCGGTGAGGGGTACATACAAGTGCGGCAGCAGATTAGGGAAGGGGCAGATAAGGAAGGACAAGAGGGCTGAGCATCATTTGCTGAAGGACTAGCACTAGCTCGGCACCTAGCACTAGAACAAGACCTAAAGGGGGGGTGGGGGTAGAACCAGGAGCTGCAGAGAGGAGGGGTCCCCCCTCAAAGCGGCATCTCCTGCAGTGGTGATCCTGCTGTCGACCCCCCAGTCACCAGGAGTCGCGGTGGAGGCAGAAGGAGGTGAGCCCTGATCACTGGCAACTCCCTAGACCTCAGGCTCCTGGAGAAACTACCACAGAGCTCAGCTTCCTTCGTAGGTCCTGAAATAAAGGCTTCCCAGTGGAGCACAGTGTGGTAGAAAGAGGGCTGGGTGCAGAATCAACAAATGCAGATTTCCTGTTGTTCCCACTTCCGCCTCTGACTCCTGTGTGACTTTGCACAGCCTCTCCACCTCTCTGGGCTGCGGTCCTTATTGGTGAGATGCAGAGTTCCCTCAGGCCCTTGACAGATCTGATTCTCCAGGACTCTGGGCTTCTCGTAGCCAGCGTTTATAGGATTAATTGGGGGTTAAATATTTGGAGGGCTAGTCTGGGGCTCTCCTCTGGGGGAAAGATCCAAAGAGGAAAGGAATTCGCCAGGGCTCTGGCCGCTTAGAGGGTGAACAGGACGGAACATGGCGTATGCAAATCTCTGGTGAGGGGCCAACCTTCCATCAGAACGGAGCCGGAGCCGGGATATAGAGGCAGCCCCGGAAGCTGGGCCCAGCCGCATAAATCACAGCACTGGCATATCAATCAGTCAGTTCAATCGGCTACAATACTTTTTTCTTTTGGAAATAAATAAAGATGAAGGCAAGAGATACCACCCAAAGAGGAAACCCCAGAGCAGTGTGGATAGTCACATGGCCACCGAACCCCGGAGCCGGACTCTGATTAATGGAGCAGGCTGGCTTTGATAAATCAGGTACCTCCATCCAGTGGGTTTAGGCTCTTGTTTTCTAAATGGGAACTTAATGCTGTTCACTCATTCATAGGTAGGATGCTGTGTCAGAAAGTTAATATATAAATCTGTTATTTACAAGGGTCTCCACATTTGTTTCTTAAAAAACAAACTTATAAATCATAGACATCTCAAATAGAAACTTTTCTGGCATAAATTGTCACCCTCTTCCTATAAATCTCACATGTGCAATCCTTCCTGATCTGTTAGACTTCCACATTTGGTGCGGGATCAGGACTGGAAGTGCTGGGAGCTGGGAGGAGGATGCAGGGAACATGGCAGTAATCTGTTCCTTCTTTTGCCTTGGACTCCTTTTATTTATTTATTTATTTATTTATTTATTTATTTATTTATTTTATAGCCTATCTGGCTCTGAGAGTACATTGATTTAAAAAAAAAAAGTTTCGGGGCGCCTGGGTGGCGCAGTCGGTTAAGCGTCCGACTTCAGCCAGGTCACGATCTCGCGGTCTGGGAGTTCGAGCCCCGCGTCAGGCTCTGGGCTGATGGCTCGGAGCTTGGAGCCTGTTTCCGATTCTGTGTCTCCCTCTCTCTCTGCCCCTCCCCCGTTCATGCTCTGTCTCTCTCTGTCCCAAAAATAAATAAAAAACGTTGAAAAAAAAAATAAAAAAAAAAAAGTTTCAAGTCAACCGAATATGCAAGAGGGGTAGATTCTGGAGCTGTTGGGTAGGGCAATTTCCTGGAGAGTTTCCTGGGGGCACACGGGCCTCCACACCAGGCCAAGCTGTCATCCCACATTAACGCTTCTGGTGCCGGCAGTCCAGGGCCACTAAAGTGTCTGCCCAGAGCAAGCTCTTTCTCCCCCTGAAAAGGCCAGAAATGTCCCCCCTCACCCGTCCCTTTCCTTTCTGCCTCTATTCCTTTAGGGAGCCCCCTCCTCCAGGAAGTCTTCTCTAACTAGAACTGCGTATCGCTGAACACATTAGGATCTATGTTAGCTAATGACAACAGCAACAACAAGGCAGACACTCTATCAGAGCATGAA